TGAAAAAAGCAGAGTAGTAAAAGGTTCCCATGCATCGTGAATAACAGAGGAAAAATTTAGGAAATGGACTCTCAGAGAGTTTGAATTATATTGACATCTAAAGGAAAGAAATGGTCATTAGGGCTATACATTCAGTAATGTTTACAGCGCCCATGACCGGTTTACAATTTACAGCACAAAAGTTTCTCACAAAAACTCCTCCGAGAATAATTAAAACTGCTTGAGTCTGTACACTGTGAATCTTCAAGTAAAATTTCTCATATTTCAAAAATGACTGCAATGGTAGATTTGATATTAGGATGCACTGTACCTAGAGGCTTTTCCCTTGTTTTCTTCTCTTTCTACCGACCATACAACCAAAATAGACAATGAAGTAATGATGTGGGGTTCTCTTATTGCACCACTAGTAATCTGGCATGTGAGGTGATAAGACCTTGAGTTTCTCTTATAGGCAACAAGGTGTAGAAATGAATATACAATCATTTGATCCTTGCGCAAGCTGTTCCTCCGCTTCTGGTGTTAGGGGTACTATCTTGACAGTGTCTACTCACCCGTGAACGGTCCTCACGCACCAAAATGGCACATTTCTTTTCTCTGGACTAGAGTTCGTTGTCCTGGCCGGTATGCCATCGCTCCACGGTGCTTATGGTTTTTCGTGGTTGATGTTGGTGTTTAGCGCCTTGCACCAACGATGAACTGTAGCCATGAATCACTGCTCTCGCATTGTGGAGTGACTGATTGGGGTATTTGACAAAAAAACAACCACATTTCAGGTATCCGTCCCACAGAACTCGACTGATTGTGATGAACGAAAAAGACAAAACCCATCCTTGCGTAGATATCGTCTCATCTTATATGTGCCATTTTGGGATAGCCCAATTAGAAATTTTGGTAGGTTTTATTTTTTGGCAATAGCATGATGCAGCGCCGCACCAGTACATTACATGTAACTTTGAATTATATGTATCCTTTTGTTATTTTTGTTTTTGGGCTCGTTGAGCTGGTGCCCTCAGCGGAACCCCTTCTTGTGCTACCTTAGGAGTTTGTGTTTGGTGTGTGTGTCGTCTTCTGTATTGCTACTTTGTTGGTCTCGCTTTGTGATGGTTGCTTTATATATAAAGCGGGGCGAAAGCCTTTTTTGGCATTATATGTACATTTAAAAGAAATAGATGATCCTTAAAGGTACATATTCAATAGTAGTGCTTTATAGTGATCATGACTGGTTTACATTTTACAACACATAAGTTTCCCCTAACTCTTCAAAGAATAAACATTTTCTAGGGAAGAGAATAAACCTTTCTGACTGAGTGCATTGTGAATCTTGAAATCATCCTATCCACGGGAATCCAGAATCTCTCATATTTCAAAAGAACAAAGTGCTCACTCAACACGGTCAACGGGCAACAACACTACCCCCTCTAGCGAATGGACTCTTTCCTAGTGAACTCAGGGTCAGTGAGTTGGTTAGCAAACTCTTGGAGGTGGTTAGCATATTGTAATTGTCATCATGTATTTTGGGAGGCGGATCCATTCTATAACCACCTGGAATAAATAAGTATTACATGCGATTTTCTAACTACATGCGGTTACTCATGTGGAACTGCCTCTGTTGTTCAGCATTACTGGGGGCTTTGTCCCTCTATGTCACAACCACTTTCGGGGGCCGCTTTTCATGCCTATTTTTTCTATTACTGATGTTTCCTGCTGTGCATGCCATTTGCAGCCGCACAACGCCGTGGCTATTACAAGGCCGATGCTTCCCCATCCCGGCTGATCACGCAGCTGTCCAAAGCTACACCTCCCTCTTCGCGTCTACTTCGTACATCAGCACCATCCTGCTTCCCCTACAGCCTGATTGAGTGCCGCTCATGGAGGAAGAGGGGGGGCATATGCTGGATAAGGAGGCCGCATAGGAGGAGGATGCCCTCATGGCTGAGGAGGGGTGGGATAGTCGTGACACGCGAGATGCCTTTCGGGAGGGTCCCTCCGTCGTCGCTAAGTGGGAGGGGTTGGATCCTCGGTAGTCGGTACGTGCTAGATTGGTATCCCCTATATGGTGTGGTGCCAGGCCGAAGATCTCCCGACACCATGCCTAAGTCTACCAAGGCAGCTTAAATGCCCTGCCACAACAGGTTCCTCGCCATCTCACTATTAAGGAGGCATGTGATGATTGCTACGCCCCTATGCCTCGTCCTTTCACCTATGTGATGTGTGATATATTTGAGGAGACTGTCAACGGTAGGCATTGGCGGTGCAGTGGAAGCAAGCCTCCTGGTACGAGTTCGAGGTGGCTCAAGTGGAAGTGGCAGAGAGGCAGTGTGCCTTCTAGTGTGAGTTCGAGGCGGTACATGCGGTAGCAGCGGAAACAAAGTGCACCATCTTGGACCATCATTGTAAAGGAGGCATGGTATGAAGGTGAGATAGCCCAATTTCGTTGTGCTAGGGACCGTGGTAGCGCCTACCAGCTACTCATGTCCCCTACAAGTACCACTCTGACATCAACCATGCCAGACCACCGTCACAATGTCGCAACTAGTCATCGAGCTGACTCGTCAAATATGCATGTACTCGTGCTTAAGTTTCACCATTGACTAAGGATCAAGATGCAGGATATAAAGTTGCTACATATATAAAAGGATAAATTTTGAACAACTCCACTACTAATTATGTACGAGGAAGACACTAATTGACGTTTCTTCTCCTATGTAAGAACTTTGTTATGTCAATTGAAGTGTAGAATCCCTCCAAATGAGTGTATGAGTATTGAGTTGATGCAAGCATAAAAGAAATAAAAGTAAGAAACAGCTGCATTATGGTGACTCGCGCGTCACCTCCAAAATATTATGAACCATGTTTTACACGCAACAAGGACACTGCGGATGTGCCACTCTACTATAGTTGTTGTAAAAGAGTAGGCCTACCAGCACCGCTCACACTAGCTATGTTTGACTAGTTACTAGTTGGCTCAAATCCCAAGTTTTTTATTTGAACTGTATAATTTTAAGATAAATAACTTGTATTCCGTTTGTCAAATTGTCAATATAGGGCTACCCATGCAAACCCTAAGAGAGGGGGTAGTTTGCATTATAAAAGTTATGTCTAGCTAGCCTTCACCAAGCGGAACCAAGTGCGTTATCTGCTAGTCAACCCATACTTATGTCGGGACATTTTCTTCACCGTTGGTTGCATGTACTATATTGATGCTACTGTAGCACATGTTTGTGGTTCTTCTTTCTAGCTGATGGGAGAGTGCATGGAATTGATATGTTTTTATAGGCCGACTGCTGCCAATTAATTTGAAAAATCATGCATTAACCCGATTAAAATCGTGAAACAAATAAAAAATTGAATACCTCAATCGAATGGGAAAGCTTCAAAATTAGGGGGCACAGTAAATCAAAAAGCATTTAATGAGAGAGCTCCAAGAGAAATTGTTGACCCGGTCAAAATCAGGTGAGCCAATTTCATATTGGAGGTCTCAATTGAATGTGAGGCCTGAAAAATTCGAGAGCATATTGTATTTAACTATTTATAGATAGATTTATAGATGGAATTTGTGCTTGAATTTTCCTTTGTCACATATGTGCACACTTTCCACACAATATACATATAGGCCTAAACCACATCGGCAGGTTAGTAATCAATCTATACAAGAGTGTATATAGGTTGTGAAAATTTGAAGAAGAAAAAGTGCGGGGGAAGCATGGCCTTCGAGTAGTTATTTCACAAATATAAATTGTGGTGCTTCATGAATAAACTCAAGTAGTTTTTTATACAAGAAATTCAAGTAAATGTAACATCAAAATAAATTCAGGTAAATGTAAAAACAGAAATCTAGCTGGGCAAATGCACAGTCTACCTTGCTACTTTTTTGTGATTCTAATTGAATATATTTATGATAAATACCATGTTTAGCTAGCTAGCCTTTACCAAGCCGAACGATAAGGCAAGAAAGTGACATCACAGGATGTAATGATAGCTATTTTTTTTGTAATTCCACTGTATATATTTATGATAAATGTCATGTGTGGCTAGCTAGCCTTTACCAAGCCGAACGATAAGGCAAGAAATTGATGTAAGTGCAAAGCAAGAAAGCAACAGAACGAAAAGGAACCATGCTAAGCACAGCGGCACATGGAATCATGTGTGCTCGTTTCCTGAAGCGTGCAACGACCAAGAGTGTAGACATGCACCTGCAACCTTCAATTACTGGCCGAGAAATTAAGGAATTTTGCTCAGCACGCACATGGAGTGGAGTGAATTGGACTTGTGCGTCTCTTCTTTACTAGGGACGGAGTGAGACCGCATATGTGCCTCAGTTAGGTGAGAGGAGCTGATTAGGAAGTACTGTAACTAGCTAGTATTGTCAATTCTGATATAGTTGTTGAGCATGGCTAGCACTAACAGTCCTACGTACTTCACTAGCATCCATGA